TCTCACCCATAGACCAACCCGCCTCCATTGAAACCCGCCAAGATGCTGCATCTACATCATAAATCTCTACCCAGCCACCATTTCCACCGACTCCCAGACAATTCTAAACTTCTCACGGCTGTGTCCATCACTGTACACTCCAAAAACCCTCTCCATTTCCAGATCCTTTCGCTCTACAATCCCCCCTCGACTTTCTCTGCTATTCCCACGTTGAGAGAATGGCTATCTACAAACAATTGCCGCCACACTCCCACCATCCTTATGATGGATTCTAACCTCCACAATCCGCGTTGGAACCCCCCCAATTACCGACACACCCACTCATCCTCCAAAGACCTGATTAAGCTCTGTGGGCAGAAAGGTTTCTTCCTTGCCTCCCCGGCTGGAATACCTACCTTCCTGAGCCCAAGAGGAGCCCAAACTACCATTGATCTGTGTTGGATCAACAATCGGTGTAGACAGCGAGTGCAATCTTGCAAAGTCCTGCTAAACAATCATGCTTCCGATCACCAACCGATCCTCATCTCTATCTTGCTAGATGAAAATCTTTGCCAACCCCCAGCTAATAGAGGCATCACACCGGAAAAAATTGACAGGACACGTTTCAGTGATGACTTAAAACTTGCGATCCAATCCATCCCCCTTCCCCATTCCTCGAATCCTGTGCCATCCATTGATGAGGCTGTAGCCCGACTCACAAAGGGCATTCAGGCCTGCCACTTGAAGCAAGGCACTACTCCCCGTAGGGGTCAGAACAGAGCAAACTCGTGGTGGGTGCCCCATATCCTGGGCCCCCTAGTTGCTAATCGGAACAAAGCTCGCAGGTGGATGATTCTGTCAAACTCTGCTGAAGCGCGACAATGCTATTATGCCTGGCAGCTCGCTTTCAAACAGAAAGTAGAGGAGCTGAAGCTATTACACTGGCGAAGATTCCTGGCCAGAACAGGGGATACTTCCGCCTTTCAGGCATATAAATTCACTAAAGCTAAACAGTCCGCTACGGTGGAACCTCTACGCCGACCTGATAACACTCTATGTACAGATGTTGCAGAACAGGCTGAATTACTGTTCAGAGGCACATCTGTAATAAATTCGGTCTGCGATTTGACAGACATCCCTATCAGAGAACCTGAAACCCCCCAAAGAAGCTTCCCACCTATCACTCTTGCCGAAGTCAACCGAGCCATCGACTCTCTCCCCACCAAAAAAGCAGTGGGACCCGACAACATCCCCAATGAATTGCTTCGGATGGGCAAATCCCATCTTTCCCCCTTTCTCACCCCCCTCTTCAACGCTTGCATAAGACAAGGTCATTTTCCTAGAGATTGGAGGACAGCTGTAACAGCCATCATCCGGAAAGCAGGAAAACCAGACTACAGCAACCCCAATGCTTACCGACCAATTGCACTTTTGTGCACTCTGGGCAAGCTTTTTGAAAAAATCCTCAATGAACGCCTGATCCATTGGATTGAAACCAAAGGAGTCCTTCCTCAAGGCCACATGGGCGGCAGAAGAGGCCGCAATCTTGTCGACGCTCTAGTAGTCTTCACTTCATGGGTGAAACACCAATGGAGGAAGGGAAAAATCGTAGCGGGCTTGTTTCTGGATGTGAAATCTGCCTATCCTTCGGTTTACGCTACTCGGCTTGTAGACCGTCTACATCAACTTTCTTGCCCCACTTACCTCATTCCAGTCATCTCCTCCTTCTTGACTGAAAGGTCCACCTGCATTCGAATGGGCGACTACTTATCCTCCCCCTTTCCAATTAAAGAAGGCCTCCCGCAGGTTTCCCCCCTATCTGTCACCCTCTACATCCTGTATAATAGTGGTCTCCTTCTAAACAGCAAATGCTCATTAGAGGAAACCAAGATTTCCATCGGATATGTTGATGACATAGTCCATTTGGTAGCTGCTGACTCGTTGGAATCTGCAGTAAATATGCTACAAGATGATGCTTCCCGATCCCTTGACTGGGGTAGGAAATTTGGCGCCATCTTTGACCCCAAAAAAGCTGTACTGATGATCTTCTCTTGCAAGTCTGTCACACCCCCACCTTTCAATTTCGATGGACACACCCACACTTTCCAAAAGACAACTAGGTGGGTGGGCATCATCCTCGACCAGCGACTCACTTTCTCTGAACACCTCAAAAAAGTCAAGACTACGGGCGACCTCACCATCATGCAGCTCGATCGGATCATCAAGTCAACATACGGCCTGAACACAGGACTAGCAAGAAAGGCTGGTGGTAGCAGTGCTATACTCCCGGATTTCTTTTGGCAGTATCATTTGGTATAATAAAAAGAATGCCAGATCGGCGGCACAGACTCTGGAAGGGCTGTACCATCGAGCTTGTCGGTTGATCACAGGCCTCTTCAGACAAACTCCCCTACCCTTTGTCAAAAAAAGCAGCGGGCTGAAAACACCGCTCGAAGTTCATCTGCGAAACTCTCACTTCTACATCCTTCGCGCGCTGACATACCCACCCTCCCACCCCGTTAGCCACATACTACACAAAGAACTGACTGAAAAGACACCCTCCTTCCCAAGCCCTATCCACCTGCTCCTGAAGCCAGACAGCTCGTACACCTTCCCAGTAAGCCAACTAGAAACCATTCAGCCGATGCCGGCCCCACCATGGATTGAACCGATTGCGGAAATTCAAAACATACAGGATAAACGCTTAGATGTGATACAACGCATTCCCCAGCAGATACAATACGAGCTGCAGGAACAATCATTAGTCATCTTCACAGATGGCTCTTGGATACCTGATAAAGGAGCAGGGGCGGCGGCAGTGGCCCACCCCTCTGCGCGCAACATGGTAGCACACATTAACCCAGCTGATTCCATCTCTAATTTTGAGGCAGAGCTAATAGGCATCCGACTCGCCATAACACTGGCGCAGGACACTCTTGATACTGACCACTCACACGAGATTAGCTCGGTAGCCATTTTCTGCGACAACCAAGGGGCCCTAATGCTCTCTGCTGACCCAATGTCCCTATCCCCGGGACAACATCTGTACACTGATAACTTTTTCCGTATGAAGCTTCTAGGTCGCCCAATTAGACTCTACTGGTGCCCCGGGCACGAGGGTTTTGAAGCTAACGAAAAGGCGGATATACTCGCTAAGGAAGCTGCTGAAGGCAACTCTGCCCTGCAAAACACCTTCTCTCCCTCGATCCAAATAGCTAGGAGCCTAGCCAAGGTAAAACAACACACTCGAGATCAAATAAAACTTCCTGAGGAAGAGTCGAAGGACATCTCCCGTTATTTTCCCTTCTCCAAGGACTGCACTAAAATAGTACAGGCCCTGGACCTACAGGAAAAAGGACCGGCAGTGACAATCTTTCAACTCAGAGCGGACTGTGCTCCACTTAATAATTTTCTTTTTAAAATAAAAAATAGGCTGGACCCGAGATGCACTAACTGCTTCGTTCAAGAGAACACGGCACATTTCATTATGTTTTGCAGCAGGTACAAGAAAGCAAGAGCGATCCTCAAAAAGAACCTCAGGAAATCGAAATGTGGGGTGAATCCAGACTCCTTCCGATCAATCATGGACAACGCTAAAGCGATGGCTGAAGTGGCCGAATTCATCTTAACAACAAATTGGTTTCCGAACATCCGGCAATACATCTCGACGGCGGATAACACCTAAATCTCTTCCTATCTTCTTTTTATCTTCTTTAGTTTCCGTTTCTAAGCTCTCTCTCCATGTCCTTTTTCCTCTACAGTATATTTCCAAACTTCTCCTTTCTCAGCTTATAATCATCACTCCAAATTTTTGTATACACAAGCGACGGACTAGGAAGCCTAGCCCTGATTCCTTGAAGACCAACGATCCTCGGGTTATTGGGGGATAACCCGCAGATCCTGTTTCAGTAGCAGCGATAGGTTGTGGGGGCCTAGGCGCGCACTGTACACACATTCTTCTGGTGGGATGGGAAGAAGGGCTAGGTCTCCCGAAATCCTTAGCTCCTTACCTCTCACTTCCTTTCACTCCTTTATTTCCTTCAGATATTCCATTTCTTAGTTTCTGCTAACAAATTTCTACATTTTCTCCTCTTTCTCCTTTTTCCTTCCCTTTCTTCTCATTTCTTATTTCTTTCTCTCTTACATACACGATTGCTTTACACACTACGGATCGCGCCACCTCTTGACTCCCGGCGTTACAGATCAATACCTTAGGAGATATAATTGTATATACATAACACATAGTAGACTAATAGTGCGGTATGTGAAATCAATAACACTTAAAAAAAAAAAAAAAAAAAAAAAAAAAAAAAAAAAAGGTTTGATGCATACCCCTATTTCACCAATCAGAACATCTGATATTTGGGGCCCTCCTTTGATTAAGAGGCTTCGCAAGTCAAGTGAGGCAAAACCTGAAGCCTTCTGATTTGCAACCTTATCTATTTAGCTGATGGCAATGCCACACATTGCAACATGCTGCCTGCTTGGAACAAGCTTCACCTAACATGATGGGGCATACCCAATTTAAATTTGACATTTTGTAAACCACACAAGCTAGGGTAAATCTGTCTGATAGTGACTTGGTCAGATTGTAAAACACAAAATTTGGGACATTCAAAGTAGGCAATCAAAGCTTGAGTGGCCTTAGGATTAGCTAGCAGCAAGTAACTGGTTCTCTAGCTTCCCTCCCCCCTCACCTGATGCTCTTCTTCTCAACCTCTCTGCAGGGTTGGAATATGAAGTGCAAACAGACTTTTCATTCCAACTCCAGCCCGAGCAAGCAAAAAGTAGGCTTTTGGCTACCCTTCTTGGTGATGGTTGGATCCACAGTAGACTAACTTCAGACACAGTTATCTCTGTCAACCCAAATGCCTTAAGCAAAGGTCCTTATGAATCCACTACTCTACTCAAAATGTCAAAGTCTAATAATAATAGGGTATAGACATAGATTCATGAATAAATTTGTGTTCATAAATGAATTGAAACATGGATTATGTAAGTGGTTCTGTAAAAAAATAATTTCTGAATTTGTGTTGATACATTTATGCACCAACTTTAAACCCCACTAATAATGGAGTAGCTTGCAAAGCTACATAACATCTCAATTGTCAGCGCTTACATATTTGTTAGTATTTGTATGTCTGTGATTTTTTTTCTCTCTATTGTACAAATCTTAAGCCCTTTGCAATGTCATATTTTCAGCCTTGCTTGCGATAACACTGTCCATCTTTGTCGATTCTTCCGATTGAACAGTGGTTGGAGGATCCTCTTTCTTGGGAACTTTAGCTGGTGAGACTTTGTCGAGTGTTGTGACTGCCTTCCTCTTCTTATTTTTCTTCTCGAGTAGGGAATTGAGATTGCCAGAAGGCATTAGTGATGCTTTGAAGTGCTAGGGCGGACAGATTCTTGCCATAATAAGGGAACTCTCTTCTTACCTTGCTTTTAGCCAGGTTTGATGAAGCCAACGTTGTTGCGGCCACGGCAAGCGTCTTGCATTGACATGTCGACCACACCGAATGGGATGTGGGACTTTCGGAGGGTGGTTCCTGCAAGACTTTGAGCGCTTCGAGTGAAGCCCTCTGTTCGGCCACACTTGCCGAACTCTTGTGTCGACCACTCGCGATCTCTTGGCCATGTAACTCGATTCGACAGACCTTGACTGAGATCGGATCTTTGGTCTCTCCGTTTGGATTGGGTTCTCTGATCGTCGTTCTTCCGGTGAGAAATATGGGACACAAATTAAAATTCATTTGTTTAGATCTGGTGAATGTGTATGTCAATGAAAGCGATGAAAGAAAAAATTCTTACGATATTCGACGCAGCTCTGCACATTGGTATTGGTCACGGAGTCTCAACATTGTGGACAACGGGTCGCGAGCAACGAGCCGAGACAAGCCTGGGATAACATCTTCAAAGATGATGTCTAACGTTCGATAGGCGGATTGGAGGTTGAAGCCGCTATCGACAAACACCGCACCAACGATGGCTTCCAAGACATCGTTCAATATTTTGGGCGGATCGAAGACCACGAAGAGATTATCAATGGTTGAAAAGTACTCCTCTATCTTCGCAAAAGGCTTGATGGCTTCGATGGCCTCGGTACAGGCTTGTTCAAAGTTCTCGGACGCATGCATGATGATCTCTTGCAGACCTAATTTTTTGAGTGCCAAGAAGCCCAGACTGCCATTAGAGACCACCTTGGCTCGGGCAAGAGTCAATTCTTCCGCAGTCGCATGGTCGAAGCGTTTGTAGGCATGTTCGACGATCCACATGTCAATCACCGCATCTCCAAGCCATTCTTCCCTCTCGTAGCAGTTCGTCATGAACGAGTTCGCGCTCCGGTGAGTTAGAGCTTGAACCAACAATAATTTCTCTTTGAAGACGTAGCCAATCTTCTCTTCGAGCGCTTGGCATTTGAGGAGGGTTGATGGCTCGAGCGCGTCATGAGTGATGCTCTCCAAACCGATATTCACAGGTCGTTCGCTCCAGGGTGCAGTACCTCCAAAGCAGAGATCCAGAGCCGTTCCGATTTTTAAGCCAAGTTCGATCCCACCAGTCAGGAAACCAGCGCCCAGCAGGGCCTCAACGACGTCGGATAAGACCCGCTTCGGGATCTTTCTGGAAAAATTCCCGTTGGGAAGCTCCTTGCCGTCTTCGGTTTGAGGGTCTCTGAATCGGTCTGTTCGAAAACGTTGACTGAGGATGGAGGCGGGAAGATTAGCCTGGATCGCTTTCCGTCGCAGGTATGCGTTATCGACCGATCTGGATCGCACATGACTCATATCGCCTTCGCCCTTTTTCAGATGACTCAGATAGACGTGAACCGAGGTGGCTAACTTGAGGAATGCATCGCCCAAAGTCTCGAGGGTTTGGTAGTCCCAAGGAACACCACCACCAGGTGGAGTCAGTGCTTGAATTCCATGTAGCAGCGAAATCGTTGGGAAATCGAGTCGTTTGAAGAGAGTAGTCGCCTGAAGTGAATCGTGCAACAGACGAGTAAGGGACGGTAGATAACTGAACACTTTCCACATCGAACGTGGGATGTGTGTTCCTTTACAAAGCTTCAAGGGTAATAAGATTCGATGAGGCTGTACCACAGTTGATTCGGACTTCGAGAGATTGTTCAAGACATGAAAGGTAGTTTCAAGATAGACTAACTCTCCCTGGAATTGTTCTTCCTTCAGGTCATAAACTACCTTGTAAAAGTGACCGAGATTATGAAATTTGGAGATTTTTTTACAAAAATCTCGCATGCTCGGACAAGCTGGCACGGACTGAGGTGGAGAAGCCTCAGAGATATCTCCAGCAGGTTCGCACGTATCGAATATTCTGTAATGCAGGTGTCGGATGGGGGCGATGGTATTCTGGTAACGCAAGCTGTCTGCAGTATCAGAAAGCGGAATCATTGGAGTGTCCACAAGATTCCAATCGATCTCACACGTGTCCCTAAGAAGCGGAGCGACAAGGAAATATAGTTTTCCTTCGTACGCCTTTCGATTTATAGCGGCTTGCATGACCACTCGAGAAAATGTCTCTAATCTCTGCAGATTGGTGGGTGCATCATCCTGCCCCCATTGTATTCTCTTACTCTGTTCGATTGTGATGGGGAGGGGTCTGCTGTCTGTGTAGTGATCAAATAACTGCAAGCCATCGGGGACGGTCAGATGACGAGCACACAGGAGTCCCATCGTTGAAAATCCGTCTGGACTATCATCCGGGAAAGAGAATTTGTGGAGCCAGATTTCTGTTGATGTCCGGAAATCGCCATAGACGTTCGGGATGATTGCTTCGACCTGATCTGATAATGGGGTAGCCTCGATTTCTCTACCATCGGCGTCGCAAATTTGAGCGGACTTACCTTCTCGCTGAGGTAGGAAATGTTGGTTGAGAACATCCAGTTCCCGCAAGACTTTGCAGGCCTCGAAAGCGGCCGACCGTTTCGCGTCTTTCTTCGTCGCCATCGCCAGGCCGGTAAAGGTGCGCTGGGACGGATGAAGAGCAGCCATAGGGGGTAGCGTTACTTGGCATTGGAAATTATCTCCCAACCACGTGATCTCATATTGTGGTGCAACGACCGGAAGAAATTCATCGGGTGGAATCAGTTGGCAGACGTCATTCAAAAGACTAGTCGCCGCACTGTAAGTCAAGATTGATTCCTTTCCACCAGCAAGTTGGCAAATTAATTGAGGTGTCCACTCCTCTTCACCTTCTTCGATGAGCTCATCCTCCGGACGATTGTAAAGTGCCGCTTTGAGCTGCTCTCTGGAAAGAAGGATGGAAAATGGAGAAGCATCATCATTAGCAGATTCCGCATAATTAAATCTTGGAATATGAAGGCATTTACTCTTTTCCAGTGAACTCTAAATATTTGTTTGTTGTGCCGTTGGGTAGCATGACGATGTAGTCAGATTCGCGCGCTCGAGCTCGTCCACGAGATTGAATGTAGCTACGAACACTCATACAAGGACACGGTAGGCTTGAAATGAGCATCCCATCCAATAGTATTGTCTGCAGCAAGATGCTAGAGTTGCGTACCCTTTCCAAGTGGTTATCAGATCAAATCGAATGACGACCCTGCATGAGCGAAAATCCAGACCCTCTCTGAAGAATGGGATCGATAACGCATCAGCCCCAGAGTAATCATGGTCGATGAAGTGTTTGTTAGGTAAGGCAACTGCTTACTCGGCCACACTGGTTGCGATTGTCAAATTATATTCGCCGGTTCTGAATTTTGCAACCGCTTTGTTTTGCTATGACAGGGGAAGATCGAGGGAGGTTGAGAGCCTCGATGATTTTGAGGGGAACACAGAGGGCAAATGAACTTGATTACCCACAGTTCTCGAGTCCATCTTGATCCCAATCAAGTCGTTCACATTGCCTCCAGCGTGGCCAGTCAAGGCTGTCGGACGAAGGAAGCCTTTCAGCTGGGCATTGCGCTCCAACAGAAAAGGCAATAGTTGGGCGTGTTGCCTGCGTTCGACAAACACGATACAGAGAAAGTTGTCGTGGTTGTCTTTTTCCTTATAACTGACGAGGATCTTGTTTAAGACAGCGACCTTGGAAGAAAACTGGGTCTCGGGTATATCGTCGATGTTCACAAGCTCCTCGAGTTCCTGAATCACCTCTCGGATTTGTTTTTGTTTGTTTGGATCTAGCAGGCGCCCGGGCATTGCCTGATTTGAGGCGCCGACAGTCAACAGGGATTTGAGCCAGTCGAGCACAGCCAACGAGTGCGCGTAGGTCCCCAACTCCTGATCAAATTGGAACCAATCCCCGATGGGTTGACCGATGTTAATTCACCGGAATACATCTAAATGGGAAGGAGACGAGACAGTACCAAAGAGACCGATTCCATGGCAGCAATCATTTTAGGACTGGCATGCAGGCTGAGCAATTGGTTAATCTGGTCCCATGGAGGATGAGAATTTTTTTCGAATTCAGGCGAAGGCTCGAAATATACGACCTTTTCGTTGGGTTTGAAGTTATGCTGGCAAACATCTTCGGTGTGTGTCTTCACTTCATAAATTTGAGCAGCGAGGGCAGACTGGAGACTCCTGTTCACTCGAAAGAAAATAAACATGTGAGGATTGGGGTATGTCGAGTGTTCATGGCCAACGATCGGAGAATGAAGAGAACGAACTTGATATCGCTGTCTGCTCTTTCCAAATCCTTGTAGTTCCAGATGGGCGATGCTGTAAGTCCTAGTATCTTGGGTAGACGCACGGTAGGATCTTTGGCCAAGCGATGATAATGACTTCTCCTGATAAATAGACATTTGTAAACATGTGCACAGAGGTTTAGTCACCATGACGAGCCTCCAAATCACGGAATCAGTCCTCCAATACTCACATGATTTGGTTGTAGATGTGATTTTTGCGACAGTGGTGTGCCTCATCGAATATTAATAACGACACCTACAAATGTGCTTGTTAGGACATCAGCCGCGATTTATGAGCTCTCAGAGCCAGACAAGTTGAACATTATTACATCTTCTAATTTCCAGTATCCTTTCGAGATCAAATCATAAAATATCTAATAATTTACACAACACGAGACAAACATCAGAAATCTTCGGAATAAGCGCGCACCCGAAAGGTGATGCGGGGAGAGGGGACTTGGAGTGAGATTTGATACCAACGGACCTGGGCAGTAGAGACTATGACGTCCACCTCGTTCAGCTCTGAATGCCATTTGTCGATATTCCACAGCTCAGGCTGGAGGTCGCCAGTGTAGGCTTTGACGCGAAGGGTGCAGTGCTTCTGGATGTATTCGGCCTGTTGGTGAGCCAGCGGGCGGGTGGGGGCGAGGAAGGCTTGGATCCGATGATCATCATGGTTTGCCGGGCTCTGGGCGGCAATCCAGGTGATCAAGCTCAGCGCCACGAAAGTCTTCCCGGTCCCGGTGTCGGCACGGATGATGATGTTCCTCTTCTTTGCTTCCTCCAACAGCTCGGCCTGATATAGTCGTGGGATCTTCATGGTGTCCGGAGGGTGAAGACCACCCCCAGTCGAGCAGGGGTTCTTGGTCTCCATCAAGGATCAGCGTAGTTAGGATGGAGGGTAGAGGATAGTTGAGATGGTAGTTGGGAAGGAATTAGACCCCGGGAAAGAACGACCACTACTACTCCAGCCCTGTTTTTTATGAACCGCCGGATCAGGAAGTGCCCGTTGGCCGAAGCCATCGACTGTCCCCCAACCAGTCTGTGAAGCTCCCCCGGCCTCGACAGTGGTCCTCCGATGATGATCGATAGGGTTCGCCACTTCCACTCGCCCGCGCACAGTTCTGCTTCGAGCCCACCGCCCCACAGTGGTTGCCCTGGCCGCCCATCGTCACTCCCGGGGTCGGATTCCGACTTAATGCTGACACCCCTGACCCACAATCCAAACTCCAAACACGCTAGCTAGCCTAGGGCGCGGAGATTGCCTGTCAGCGTCACGACTCGGGAAATCACTCACACTTTCAAACCGAGGAATTGCGTGCAATTTGCACAAGCAAAACAAGTAAAGTAAGGAAATTCCGCAGGGCCAAGAATACAGTGACCATTTTTTTCAAGTGCAGTTTGCATTGCGCCCAACCTTGTATAAGGAGATCATACATATGGGGACAGCCATGATTATGGACATATGTACATGCATACCACCTTTTTCTACATAAAAGGCCAGAAAACATGGCTCTGGATACAGAACCTGTACTTTCAAATCCTAAACATCACTTCAGATCACTTGAATCAAAAAGCAAACACAAAATCTGTACATACATACACAGGTTTACATGGGGGATGGGAGGACCTGGGAAACCCCCTATGCATGTGGGACTGGGTAGCCAAAAATCCCAGATTTTGCAAAAATTAATACATCCAGGGCCATGGGAAATGGCATTCTTGGGGCCATTCAGGCCAGCCCAGACCAGGCTGGCTTATGTATGGTGTTGCAAGCAGGTCTGGGCACAGGCCCAAGTTGGGCTAAAAAGGGGCCAATCGGTGTGGAACTGCTCAGCTAATGAGTGAAGAGCTTGGAGGGGATAAATATTAATAAAACTATTAAATAGTAATAATAATAAATGGGTGTGGGTGAGACTGCCCTCCTTGTCTAGCTTGTGAGAGAGTTACACTAAGAAAAATAATAGTGTGGTAGATTTCTAAAATTTATCTTAGTGAAGATACTACCTGTTGAGGATGTTGAGTTGTTTATAAGGGTGGATGGAATGGATGGTCAAGAGCTTCTGGAGTTAGGAGATATCTGAGGGTTTCTGGTTTATTCTGGTTTAATCTATTCTTTCTGGGTTCTCTGGTTCAATTCTGGGTCTTTAATAAAGTGAGTCTTTATTTCTTCAATATCTTCTGTTGAGAGCTGGAGGTGAGTTAAATAATTTCCTTATTATTTAACAGAGTTCAATAAAGGGATGAGGGTCTAGTAAATTCTCTTATTACTATTCAGTATCTGAAATATAAGGGTTGATGAAAGCTAAGTAATATCTCTAATTACTATTCTGTAGCTAGCATGTAAGGGGGTTGATGAATGCTAAATAAGATCTCTACTTATTTCTCTGATGCAGACATGTAAGGGGTTGATGAATGCTAAGTAATATATCTAATTACTTTTCCTATGCAGACATGGGGAGGAAGGAAGTGAAACATGGGCCAGAAAGGGCCTCTATTTATAGAAAAAATCTTTGGTGGGATGGTCAACAGCTACACTTGATCAGAATGATTGTTCTGACAGGGTAATGACCTCCTACTGCTAATTTAATGATGTCATGATGATGTCATGCTATGAAATTAATGATTTACAGCTGTGAAATTAATGATGTGCAGCTGTGGAATTCATGATGTACTGTTGTGAAATCAATATTCTGCTGCTATGTTTATTAATGATGTCATCTGTGTGATTAATGATCTTCATGTTGTGAAATTAATGATGAGTGGCTGTGTATTTAATAAAATGGCTGTGTAATTAATTAAATGGCTGTGTAATTAATTAATAATGATCTACTTAATTAATTAATATGATCTTCTGGATGATTTTATGATTGGTTATTATGTTATTCTGTACCCTCCTGAATGGCTTTTAGCTTTATAACATTATATTATTTCTAATTCCTTGTTGACCATTCTTGTTATGATGTAAGATCTGTTTTGTAATTATATATATACCTTTTAATCTTCCTTGTATGTTTTATACCTCTAGTCTGTGAAGTGTAATTATATATGAAATAAATTATCAAGAAAATTAACTATGATTTGAGAATAAAAAGCTTTATCATGACTATTTGATATTATTACCTGATTTCTTGAGTTTATATTTACTATTTTAATACTTTAAATATGTCTTTTAAGGTCTTATGGGTTTGATTGGTCTTACCACAGCGGGCTTGGCCAATTCCCAAGCCTGTGTGGCGCCCTTTAAACCCAACTTGGCTCAGATTCAACTCTTGCTTGGCACCTTCCCAATTTGGAGGGGGTCGGACCCAAGCCATGCTTGGCCGAGCCCAAGCGAGGGTGCCACCCGCGCCAAACCTGACCTCACAGGTCAGCTAGGTGGGTCTTGGGTGTGGTGGTGGTGGTAGTCGATGTCGGTGATCTGGTGAGCCCAGAGCTTGGGTTCAGCCAAGCCAGGCTTGGGCCAGTGCCAAGGTTCAACCCCCGCGCGACCTGCCAAATCAAGCCCCCTGGGTGCTGGCCCAGGCCCCGGTGGCGCGAGGACACGCGGGACTGGGGCCTGTGCCCAGACCCGCTTGCCACACCATACCATGTAGCAAAATGCTTTTTTTTGCAAAATGACACTGCTGTAAATCACCAGATAGGTAGCAGATCAGCCTTATTTTGGCCATTTTTGTACTAAAATCAAAGTTTTTGGCTCTTTCATGCTAGAAAAACCTCTAATTTTGTTGAACCTAGAGAATTTTGTTATTGAGAAACCACAAGCCAGACTAGCATCAAAACACAATTAGAACATGATTTAAAACATAAAGAAAGGAAAATACATGATAGAGAGTGAAAAGAAAAGAAAGAGAATAACAATGACCACTGAAGACAATGCAACATTGTAAGACTCAGACAAGAAAAGGATCAAGAAGGACAACAACACAGGTCCAGGAAGAAACAATAAGATAATTCAATGTTAAGGATCAGAGATGAGCTTGATGTTTTGGCAATTATTTCTCACCAAATGGAGATATGAGATCTTTTGTCTAGAAGTGATTGTATCAAGATAGATGAGTTTTGAAAAATTTGTTTGAGGAGTTTGAAGTCAAAAGAGAGCAAGTTCCCTGAGAATTTTTATGATTTGTGTTAAGATCAGATGCAAGGATTGATGAGTTTGGAGGGAGTAATTGTTGAAATTATGTCTCTTCTACTCTTCACTAAAAAACCTCCTCTTTATATCGTTTCTTTTTAAACTCTTTCAACATGAATCATTTGTTAATTTTTCTTTAGTAGCATGTTAGTAACCTCCCTTTCACATTCATTTAGTCTAAAGAGACCTTGATTAGTAGATAGATATGTTCAAACTTGTCTCATAAGAAACTTAATCAATAGTATTCATTTTTTATTCAATATTGTTTTTCATTCATTTCTTGTCAACCACTTGTTGACCACTTGTAGTTAGTCTATTTAAAAATTATCCTACAACAATTAATTATCATCATTGGTTCTTCTTCATCTTGAACCTTGACATCCTCAATGAAGAAATTATGACCGCCGATGAGCAGAGAGAGTGAGTGATCGGTCTTTTATTGATAAACTCACAGGGGGCTCTGAGGATGTCAAGGTTTAGAATGAAGAAGAACCGATAATGATCATTTCTTGTAACTCAGTCAGTTTAAATATACTAGGGGGTATCAAATATAACCAAATTCACCATTAATTAATTGACTGGTTTGAAAAAACCCACCCTTTTGTAAACATGTTGGTGATCCATTTACTCCTTTTGGGGCCCATTTATGCAAAAAAAAGTTTTTGGAAAAGTGACTGGTTTCTGATGGTGGATTTCCTATATTTGATACCCCCTACTATGTACCAGATTGATCAAGATGTGGTTGAGAAAATGAATAAGAAAGAAAAAGAAATCAATTCAATATGATATGCATCAACAAGAGAGTTCACAGACAAGAAGATAAGTTTTAGCTAGAGAGCTGATAAGCCCTTTTTCTTCAGGGTTCTTTGACTACAAGAAGGGGGTCAGACATGCATAACTAGGCTAAAAAACAGACTATAAGGAATGAGAAAATCAGGTGATGAGATCAAGAATGTAAGTGATTTTTGGTGTGAGTAAAAAATAGTATCAGAATTTCAACACTCAAGCCCCCATGAGTTTGTCAATAAAAAGACTGGTCAATCCCCATCCTTTTTTATCACATTGGTGGTCTTAATTTCTTCAGTAATGTGTAGCAAATAAGAGTGAGCAATGAGGAGGAATAGAAACAAAGATGGACAATATTAAATACTTGAGATCTGGTGAGAGATTTGTTCTTGAGAAGAATGTTATATGATAACCAGGTTCAGTGTTTTGGCAATTGAATCTGTAAAAATGCAATGCTTTTTTTTCTTTGTACACATTTTCTCATGAACTCTTTCAGAAATTAACCAATACAGCTTCAGAAATGGATGCTATGGATATTTTCACCCAAGGCATCACTGAAACTGAGCTGATCTGATACAGTATTGGCCAATTTATTGGAATGGATCAATTTGTTGATACCAGGTATTGAAAAGAAGGTGATTGGATTGCCCTAGCAATCAAATCCCAGGGTATTGGATCAAAAGACTGTTTAGACTGTTTATCAGGATTGGGATTGGGATGCAATCCCAATCCAATGCCCAAAAGCAGTGGTCTGCATGTCTCATGCTTTCATATCATCAACAGCATAACCAATCCAATCCCCGGATGGGTATTTATTGGGGATCAGATTGTGATACCAGCTATTGGGATTGGATTGCTCTATGAAATCCCAGTTCTCTGATAAATTGGGATTGGATCAGAGATTGATCCAATCCCACTACCCGGTATTGGAGCTCATCTTGATCCAATCCCGGCATTTTTGCTACAGGACCACTTATATCTATTGTAGCAGCGCTAAATTAACAGTGGCAGGTTTTTTTTATTTTTAGCACACCAGTACTACTGCCGCTGCACTGTGGTAGTTATTCCTGTGTTTCTACGCCAAAAATATAAAAATTTATTCTTATCTCTTTATATGTCAAATATGAGGTAAAATTAACATAAAAAATGGATTCCTCAGGTAAAATAACCACTAGTCACTCACTACAACTACCTCCATATCTCTCATAGTTTAAAAGTTACACAGATTTCAACCTATCATGGGATATCTTTTGAATTTTTTACCTTGACTATAGCTCATTTTGAATGCTGGATGCATATTGAATATTTAATTACTTTGTTTCATATTGAATTCCTTAGTAGGTGTACAGTGGGTAGACAGTGAAAAGTGTCTGCTTATTTTGGATTTTAGAGCTCGAAAACACAGACTTGAAGTCATGAGACTTGGTCAAGTGGTGCAGAATAGGTTGTAAAGAATGAATATGATAAAATTAATAATAAAAAATTGCAAAATTTGTGAAAAATCAAATTTATTTTTCTCAAAGGCTTTGAAATTCATTTTGGGGGAGTGAGAGTGCTGAGAGAAAGGAAGATTGGGATATT